ATCAGGCAAAGTTTGACGCGCTGACAAGTAGGCGTGACCGTCGGGGCGGGCTCGCAGTGGTGTCTGGCGTGATCTGGTTGGTGAACTGCCCGGTCTAAAAAGAGTGGTGAATTTGATTTGAAAAGTGGTGAATTTGGTTTGAAAAGTGGTGAATTTGGTTTGAAAAGTGGTGAATTTGGTTTGAAAAGTGGTGAATTTAAAGTGAAAATGGTATACATTTACGCCCTGTTCGAAGAAGTACGCAGTCATACCCCTTTCCGCCTTCGCAGTTTATCACTCGATATGTAATTGTAAGTGTACGTCATCTGATCCAAGCATAAATTTGGAGGTACTGCTTGACCCATCTATCGAGGAAAGAGCAAAATAAACCGTTGAAAGCGCCCTGTTGTCAGGGCCGTGCTGACATTCAGCAGTGGTATGCAGTGATCAGAGACGCTCGACCCCTATAAAGGCCAAACTGGTAATATATTTTTCAGGTAATTTGAACATATCAGTACTGACGAAACAAAGTCGCATTGCAGACCTAGGAATCTGACCTCCATTTCAAAAGCTCTCAATGCTCGCTTTGCCGTCAATGTTCGTTCAATTTCTTTTCAACGTTGTGACACCAAGTGCGGACTGCGTTGATTCATCGTTTGTGATTCAGGTTGTTCCAACTAAACGTGATGACATGGAATTACAGCCGGGTTCACGGAAATGCTCCGGGACAGCGGCCAGAATCACTAGAGAGAAAGGCTTATCACCATCTTACGTTGCTAGTTGAAGCAGATCTTATGGTGTTGTCTACTGCTTTGCGGTCTCCTTTCCGGGTACGCTTACTCGGTCTCTTCGCTACAAACGCTAGGGCGTTTCAGTAGGACCTGGGTGTGACGTGGCGCCAACCAGTTTTCCACCAATCCCACATTCCCGGTAGTTCCCCTGTATTTTTTATTAGGTCATGTGGCCGACGTCAGAATCTGCTCTTCAGGGCTTGGGTCTTGTCACGGTCGAAGCTGACTAGGTGTATTGTCCGGGGTTCAAGTTGAAACATCCATGGCAAGAACTAGTAGAGTATCTGACTAGTTTGCTCAACATTTTGCACCGCTTCCCCTTGAAACATAGGTTCCTTGTCACGGCGGAAAATTTTCCGCGGAAAATAAAATCTAGGCGTGTTGCATAAGTTTTTCCTCCTGTTTGGACCTCCATATTCGTTTGCCATGGAGGTTGCCGTATTATCGTCTCTTTGTGTGCGTGAGTGACACGACACTCTTACACCGCACTAGCTATCACTCACCCACCCTGCATTTGCAGGCTACAATGCCTCACAATTACCAGTGCAAAACCATGTCACAGTAGTGACTGGTGATTGTGCGGCATTGTGGCCTTCTTCGGGTCCCAGCCCCCGTCTGGGACGATGGAATCGACAAGCTGCCTGAGCGTTGGCGTCGAGTAGTGGATGGTGATGGTGCATACCTCTAATCTTCAGGCTGGTTCGCTATTGAGATATTTACAAAAAAGTCGGGGAAAGAACTTATGCAACAACCTAATACGACCAACCCCCCACTACGAAAGTTCTTGTGGTACGACCCCCTCCCTCCTCATCCTACCTTATCATTTACCTGAATTCCCCCGATTAGCTACCACTTTCACAGAGCTTTCTTCCAATATTTGTGGAGTGTGGGGTATCCAGCGCACTTGAATGTTTCTTGGTATGATTTTGCTTCAAAAATATTATTTGAGGATTACATTCAAACAAACGCGACTCGTAGCATTAGGGCTCCTGCTGTCGGTTTCTTGAAGCAGGATGACCCTTCTGCTGAGGTTCACACAGTTCGTGACGCCCTTGTGGAGCACTTCAAGTCACAGTTTGAGGTAAGTAACCATTTACTTTTCAACTGTGAGGCGCCTTCTGTTCTACTGAGTGGGAGTAAGCAAATAGCATCAGATATTGAAGTGATGCTGTTTTGATAAATGTACTTTGTACTCGTGCAACTTGTTTTATTTTTTTCGATTAAGACATGAACTACATATCGATTGGGAGCCCATGGACCCATAGACACGACGCCATTGCGTAGCGTCCACACTAGAACCTTTTCGGTTCATCGTAGAATCAATTAGGTCTTGAAGCAAAGGCACTGTTACAGTACACTCAAATCAACCAGCTGGCTTGTACGCTGGCGTCACCGCAACCCGGATCTCCAGACCGACGAAGGCAAAACTGCAACTGTACCAACGCCCCAGTGAAATTGGACGGCCAACCATTTAGTAGACCAAACGGGGAAACGCTGCCTCGGGACCTGCAATGAAATATCTTCGTTCTTCTAACTCGTGCGAGTTTCACTGCGAAGCCAGTAGGTACCTCTCCTGTAGTCGCTAGAATGCTAGTGTTTCCGAATGTTGCACTCACCTCCCAGTTGTCGTTCCCACGTTACCAGCGCTCATCCGTGCTGATAATGTCGCAAAACGGCGGGGCGGGGTCAAGGCGTGGAAAATCGCACCTTCAGCGAATTTGCCGGAATTCTACCATTGTCCTTTACCTGAACCGACCACGTAGAAAATGCAGCCGCTGGTGGGATCATTCCGCGCCTCTTGATACTGCTCCGCCGCATTGTGACAATATCAACTATACGTGGAGTGCTCGTCGGTTGGTGTTGCAAAATTCTCGGTTTCAGCTCATTTTGGTAATTCTCACCTAATTTGTCCCCTTTCAGGAGTGCCCCATCAGTGAGGTTGACGTTGATGAGGAGGTACAGAAAAACGAGCAATGTGCGAAAATCCTTACAGACCTGACTGACTGGAATTGGATTTTTGGAAAGACTCCGAAATTTTGGTTCGAAAACGGGCCTACAAAGCAATATGTGGAAGCAGGCATTATAAAAGAGTGCTCATTAGGGAATGCAGGACAGAAATTTGAACCAAGTATTTTGGAATATAAAATTGCTTCAAATTGAATTTTTGACATTCTGACTAGGTCATATTGTCTGTCCTTTAGAAGTGCTGCCATCTACTGTATTGTAATATGCAGTCAGAATGTCCTAAGATGTCTTTGGCAGGTCTGAGACGCGTGAGGTTGCGCTGCGGCTGCAGAAGCATGCTGAGCAACCGCGCGTGTACCAAGTGCACTACCTCGTGACGGCTTGAGGTGTCAAATTTCAAAATAATTGTGTTTCTTAGAAACTGTAGACTAGGAATTTAAATTGTGAACTCTTCTCTCATGGTGAGCTGTTATCTGTGATATAAGATAGACTTCTTAGCTATATAGATCTAGGTCGATTATACAACTAGCCCAGTTCTGTGCCAGTAGGATAATCTTCAGTTTATGCAACGCATTCGGCAGAACTTCCAAGACTCGTCCGGTGATAAGCCTACGGTCTTGTTCTCACTGAGTGCTGAGGCGTGCCGGGGGCTGTGTTTGGCGCCGCGCCAGCCCGTTCTCCACCATTGTCGAAGCGAGCAAGCGACTCGCTCCCTGTCGCTTGCTCGCTTCGACAGTAGGTGGAAAACGGGCTGGCGCCGCGCCAAACCCACCCCCTAACT